GAGCAATATAATAAAGAAGCGCAACTACCATTACCATCTCAATGCTTTCGCACATGAATAGCCTAACTACCCATACATTTCTTTCCCGGAAACCCACAACTACCAACTTACTTAAATACTCTAACTATATCTTCTTCTTTTTTTTCTTTACCAAATCCAAAATCTCACTTCCAACACCAAATCCTTTTAACCCCCTTCTATTAATGATATAAATAATTTATAGTAGCAACTTCTTTTTATAAGAAAAAATTGATACAACATGAAGACACCTAGGAACGGATCCACATACTCAATAAAGGAGGCTATTCTTTTTCTACCTTAATACTAATTATTTAAATATTGAACTTCAAATAATGTATTACATTAATTATAATGTAGTAATTAAAGTCTAATGAAACTTCACAATATTATTCATTATGTGTCTCACGAAATTTCTTAATAACATTTTTCTAATAATCTTATATTGAAATATTTGTATATTTAATAAAGAAAATGAAGGAATTTGTAACTTTTAGATCTATCTTTGGAGAGAACCCAAATAATATATTGGGGTTGGTGGCGATGGAAAGCAAAGATGGATGGTTACTACACTTCCCAAGCCACAATTTCATCCAATTCCTAGCCCTTAAACTTCGAGAGATCTTTCTTAGGAGGTAAGCTCACTTAGCAACAAAAGTCACATTACGAGAATCTGAATCCATTTCATTAAAAATACTGATAATTCGTACCAAATCTTTAACTAGCTACTTGTCAATCCATATAGTTAAGTACCAACTTATTCAAATAAAAAATTTACTATTTTTTCATTATGTTAAATCAAATATTAAACATTTATAGCAATATTAGCCCTACTTTTATAAATAAGATTGAATATGAAAGTAATTACATACAGTATTTATTTTTATTAAACATTATCCGTGTCTCAAATATTTAGTCCTATTAATTTATTTTCTAAAACAATTGACGTTTTAGAGTTAAAAGTCTAATAAATATTTTTTTATTATCAATTATGTCCATATTTAATAAGTATTTCTTCATCAATTGTTCACTTGTTTTTACAAAAATGAGATATTGGAATTGTTTTAATAAAATGCTATCCCATTTCTAGTCATTTAAAGTTGTTTTACGTATATTAAAAATTATAATAAATTTTTTTATTTTTCATAAAATGATTTTGATATTTTCTATTATACCTTCTTTCATTTTTGTTTCATAATTAATGTATATTAGTTGTTATAATTAGTTAAAAATTAGGTGAGAAATAAAGATATAATTAATAATATAATAATTAATGTTATTTTAAAACTTGAAAATGATAAGTAAATAGAAACAAAATTTTACTAAAAATCTGACAAATAAAAAAAGAATGAAAGGAATATTAAATAAGAGTCTTTTAACCCAAATTTACAGCTATTAAATATTTGTTAATTCATGTGCATTAATATTAAAAGATTAAATACTTAGGATGCAGGGTAGTATAATAATTAATAATACATCGTTAAATGTATTAAATCAAATTATTATTATATTTGGTGGTTACTTCATGAAATCAAGATAATATATATTTTTTATTTGAATAATAAGTTGGTACTTAACTATATGGATTGACACTAACAAGTAGTTAAAGATTTGGTACGAATTATCACTATTTTTGATGAAATGGATTCAGATTCTCCTAATGTCACTTTTGTTGTTGGGTGAGCTTGCCTCCTAAGAAAGATCTCTCGAAGTTCAAGGGCTAGATGAAATTGTGGCTTGAGGAGTTTAGGGTTTAAAATTTTCCTTTTTCTCAGCAATTTTTTTTTATTTATATTTTACACAATTCAAATGATATTAATTTACTCTTTTTTTTTTAATGTATATCCTTATTTGACAATTAATATTCTTACTTCATAATTATAGTTATTCTTATTTTACATATTCTAAAATATTAAATGAGGATACTTTAAACTTAATATATTAGTATTAAATATTTCTTAAAGTGTGTACAAAATCTTTAAACTTAAAAAATTATAGTTCAAAAGAAGTATTTATTAATTTCAAAGTTCAATATATTTTTTTGTAAGTTATACTCTTACTTTCTATCTAACTTTTAATTAATTTAGAGATTTATAACTAATATACATTTATAAGAAGTAAACTACTATACCGAAAACAATGGAGAACTGTACCAAAGAAAAGGAGTAAAATAGAAAAGGCACTACATAATAGAAAACTTCAAAATTCTTTTATACAAAACACAAAAAGTTTTTACATTTTTTGATTTATATTTAAAAGTCTTAAATTCCTAGTAATAAAAAGGAGAAGTGATAATAGTACACATTCTATTCTGAAGTGCAAGATAATGAGAATACTTGATGACGATGAAATAAATGAATAAAGTTTTGAACATGTAGTTGAGTTCTATTCGTATTTAACTAAAGGTCTCAACTTTTATTTTAATAAGTGATATCTAATTTTAGTCCCAAATATATAGTTATCTTAAATATTTAAAATAAAATAATTTATCACTTATGACAGTGATATCTAATTTGAACAAAATTGTTTCTCAAAGAATATCACTTTTTTTTATATTATAAATTTTAAAAAATCTATCGAATGAACTTAATCTCTACCAATAATAATAATAATTATTATTATTGTTGAACTCAATATTAAGAAACTATAACGCATGTATATTGTTTAATTAATTAAGCTAAATTTCCATTGTCTCCACTAGTATTTATTTATATACATTGTTATGTTTTTGATAATTATATTATTGATGAGAAATATCTATTAATTTTATTGATAAGTAATTTTTGTTACAAAACTTAACTCATCACCTTTAATGTACCAAAAATTTGGATATCTAACACAACTAACATATAAATTCTTTAAAAATTAGATGAAAATTAAAAATTAAAAAGTGAAAAGTGAAAATCAATAAGTTAATTAATTAAACCAAAATATTTAATAAAATTATTTTTGAATTTATCAATGAATATAAAATGATATAAAAACATATTTAATTATTTATTTTGAACTTGGAATTTGTTAAATATATTTTATATAATTATTTATTTCTATAATTTATTTTAAAAAAATGATTTAGCATCTTAAAAACCAGGATAATAATCTTTTAAATTTTATGCTCGTTTATAAATATTTTTATTTAGTGAAATAGATAATATAAATATATTTATACTTTCGATAATTTTATATTATAAAAAAATTAATGAAAGTGCAACAATGTTATGTGTTTTTAAACATAAAAAGAATAATTTTCAATAATATAGTAAGGATAAAAATGAAGAAAAAAATAGAATCTTATAAGTTCAAACACTATTTAAATAGTTAGTTAGGGAATTTCCAATCTTTTGCTTTATCGATATTATTTTAAATTAATTATGTTTTTAAATTATAAAAAAATAGTGAGGTTTAGTTTTTATTTTTCTAATTTTTAATTTCTATCCGTAAAAAATATGAGTTAATTAATTTTTTCTTATTGTCACGTGTTTCTTGTGAGTTGGTTATAAGTTTAATGAAAGGAAATGATCATCTTATATGACACTCAATACTATTTACATTATTATGTCAGCACATGACACTTAAAAGCAGAGGATATTTTTTTTGTCTTAAAAGAATGATAGATACAAAAAATAGTTATTAGATTTTGCTGGGATGAAAATCAAAAACATTTTTTTACAATGATAAAAATAAAAATTCACTCATTTTATAGCATAAAAATAATGGTTATAAATTTAGAAGGATGAAGATTAATTTCTTATGAAAACTAAAACCAAAACTTTTCTATTTTATTGGAAAAATATATTTAAGTATATTAAATAACTATGAGATATTTATTTTTTAACTAAAAATACCTTTTTAATTAAAAAAATGGTCAAAAGTATTTTATAAAGCTAGATATATGAACTTAAAAACAAAAAAGAAATATGATTTGAGTATCTTTTCAAAATATTTTAGAATTTTTTTTCCAATAATTTTAATAAAACAATATTATATCTTTCACTAATTCTCTTTAAATATTTTATAATAAAATTAAAAAGGCCTCCTATTACACATGTATAGCGTAGTTGTACCTATAATTTAAAGTGATTAAATGGAGAAGTGGCATAGTCCTTACGGAAACAGCAACAGGTTCACATGTTTAGGAGCAATTATTGAAAAAGAATTGATAAGTGACTGACTGATTTGTTTTCGATTTAGCGGAGGAGCAGTCTTATATTGAGATACATAAAATAACTTAATTATCACCAAAGGCATACATTAACTCGTAAAAGAATATTTTAGCTTACATAGGTCTGAAATTTAAGCTCAGATGTGTTAAATATTGAGAAAAAGATATTAACAATATTTTCCAGTAGAGTATGATTGTTGATGTTTGGGTTGGGTATGCATGAAAGTTTCGTATCACTTAAACTTTGAGGTTAAAATATGTTTATAAATACAATTTTTTTTTAATTTATTGAGATGTCTTTTCAAAAATAAAATTATGATTTCTTAACCGGTAGCATTGGGTACAAAGAGATAATATCTTATCAACGTGGAGACATGTGTATGTATGTGATAATCTTTAGTGCACAATAAGTGGTATCGATGGTCTGATCAGGTGACCAACTCGATTTGTATGATGGAGTTTGCAAGTGGGTTAAAGTTTGTGATCCCTTGTGCTGAAAGTCTTCTTAACGGTAGAGAAAATGGACATGAATTTATATACATACAGTTGTTTCCATTAATTGAGGGACCTTTTAAGTGATATCTAAAAGCAAAACTGTAAGAGCTGTGTTCAAAGCGGATAATATGTTACCAATGTATGTGTATGATACCTTTTAGTGAAAACAAATATTTGGTGTTGGAAGTGTTTGTAATTAAAAAATAGATATGATATAGATAAAAAATAATAAAGTGATTGTTTAAGGAAAAGGGGGAGAGATGAGATGTTGTTGTGTTGGGTTGGGCATGGTTAAATATATGGTTCGTAAGGCATAGGTATTAGCTAATGGTAAGAAAGAGAGAGGTATAGGTAGCAGCCACTCCTCTAACCTATCTCACCAACTCACGTCTAGAAGCAATAAGGGTCACACTTTAGTTTGGGTCAAAAGGCTATAAAAATGAGGTAGAAGGGCAGGCCTTATTGTTGGATTGGAGCATCATTCATGGGAAGGTCCCCTTGTTGCGAGAAAGCACACACAAACAAAGGTGCATGGACCAAAGAAGAAGATGATCGCCTCATAGCTTACATTAGAGCTCACGGTGAAGGCTGCTGGCGCTCTCTCCCCAAAGCCGCCGGACTCCTCCGCTGCGGCAAGAGTTGCCGCCTCCGCTGGATCAACTATCTCCGCCCTGACCTCAAACGTGGCAATTTCACCGAAGAAGAAGATGAACTCATCATCAAACTCCATAGCCTCCTTGGCAACAAGTACGCAACCCAATTTCATTTTAACAAATGAAATTTATTCTTTTTATTATTTAATATTTAATATTTAATATTTAATATTTAATATTTATTCATGACATCTATGTGATAGGTGGTCTCTAATAGCGGGAAGGTTACCGGGGAGAACAGACAATGAGATCAAGAACTACTGGAACACTCACATAAGAAGGAAGCTTTTGAGCAGAGGAATTGACCCTGCAACGCACCGCCCTCTCAACGACTCTTCTCATCATAATCAAGTTCAAGAACCTGCACCCACCATGTCTTTTGCTCCCAAACAAGAAGAGGAGGTGTTTCAGGAGGTTAAGGATTCCAAGAGTCCCACATCGGAACGCTGCCCTGACTTGAACCTTGAGCTAACTATAAGTCCTCCTCATCAGGCTCAAGAGGCGCTGAAGACTAGTGTTGGGAGAGGCCTTTGCTTTGCCTGTAGTTTGGGTTTGCAGAATAGCAAAGATTGCAGCTGTGGGGACAATGGTAACACAAGTACTGCCACTGGTTATGATTTCTTGGGCTTGAAAACCACTGTTTTGGATTACAGAAGCTGAGTTTTTCATTTTGAGCTTCTTTCTTACTTTCTTTTATTCTCTAATTTGTATAATTAATTAATTAATTAATTAGTTGTTGATGCAAAGGGTACAGTTGAACATTCTTGCCTTGTCCAATGTTTCAATTTTCTCATCCTTTTATTGCTATCATCATGTACTTCTTCCCCTACCCTCCTTCCGCGTTTTTTCTTAATTTGTAAATGTGGATAAAGTCTAATATTGGTTCACTGTTTCTACGCCACAAAAAAATGATATTAACCAATACCATACCATTTAAATAAAAAAAATGAAAGGTGCTTGGAGGTCGTAGTAAGACTACAAAATTTGTTGTTTATACTGCTAGATCTTCCAAGTAGAATGACAACTGTCTTTGTTATTTCTTCAATTCACCATTTCCATGATCAAGAGAATTATTGCATCATTTTTAATCTTCTCTGCATTATCTGATTGAGAGAATTACATCCTGGGACTTTAGTTCTTGTCGACTATTTGCTACAGTTTTGGACACGTATGGCTTTGATTCAGATTTGGATTCTGATTGGCATCAACTCCCATTAGTTTAGATTCTGTAAATGAGATTCATTGTTTTTTTTTTTTTTATACGATTGGGATACTTTTTAGTCATTTTAATCTAATTTCATGTGATATGATATTTTTAAACTTATAATTATTTGATTATTTTTGTAGATTTTTCTTTGATAATTAATGGTACATAATAATTTTTTAATTTGTTTTTGCCAAAATACATATTAACTCAATTGCAATTTAATTATTTATTATAATATAATTAGGCAATATCCAAACCTAAAATGAAACTCTACAAAAAAAAAACTAAAATAAACTCCATCAGAATATAAATCATGAAAAAACCTATATAGCAACTTATTGAAGATTGAGGATTAATTATCCCAGCATGGGCTAATAAAATATAAAAGATAAAAAAAAATGCAATCATGCCAATTCTCTTTCTTAGTAATTTTGTTTTTTTGCTTATTTTGATGAACTATGAGTATGGATCAAGAAGACTAAAAACTATTCAGATTCTTTGTACTTTTGATGCTTTTGGAGTTGTCTTTTATGAAGATAAAGGGGAAAAGAATTATGATACCAATAGTTCTTCATATATGAGACCAATTGCGCTTGCTAGCAGGGCAGATATGATGTTTGTAGAATTTTTTTTAAAAAAATAATATTTAATTAGTAGAAGTTATGTTTTGTAAATCTAAATTAATTATTGATTGTGAATTTTGAGATATTGTGTTGGTTATATCCATTAACAAAGAAAAATATATATAAAAAAATAGTGAATGTTAAGCTGTTAAAAGGAGAAAAAAATTAAGATGAAAGGGTAATAGACAATAATAACCCAATTAAATTTATCTTCTATGTTTTCCCTCGATCGCTGGCACGCTCAATACATTTTACCATAGTTTTGAAAATTAGGTTGAATCGTTCTGCATCAAATTGGTGAGAAATTTGTAAAGTCGATAGAAAAAATGATTAAATTGATTTAAATCGGTCTAATTAAAAAAATATTTTTATTTTATTTTATTTAATAAAGTTAATATTTAATAATAAATTATAATAACTTATTTTTAATACTTTTTTCATAAATATAATTTAATCATTTATATTAATTTGTAATTTTTAATATCATTATTTCTTATATTTTACATTATAAAAATTGGTCAAAACAATCTAATTAAAAGATTTTTTTTTTTAATTTTTAAAAATTAATATAAAACATTAAATGAAAATATATATTTAATTAAAAAATTATAAATTAAAAAAACTTATATTTACGTTTGTCTTATAAATATAATTTAATCATTTATGTTAATTTATAATTTTTTATATTTTTATTTATATTTTACATTATATTAATTTGATATTTTTTATTCTAAATATATATTATAATATTTTATTAAAATTTAAAATTAAATATTAAAAATCAACGTTTTATTTTGATTTTTTTATTATTATAAAATTATAATATTATATTTATTTAATATTAATTTTATATTAATAAAAATAATAATAATTTATTAATATTAATTTAATTATACTTTAATTATGGTTGAATTATTAAACTTTTAAATCAATGTTTAAATTGATTCAATAATCATTGCATTTTACATATACTGATATATATGCTTAATAATTATTAGGCTACTTAAAATTGCGTGGATGAAATAACTTATCCATCATATATTCTACCATCCTCCTAACATTTAATTATTTAGGTCACGAGTCAACAAACTTCATAACTTTGGTATGCATCGGTATACATGATATGTACCTACTTAGGTTCTGCCATTATTTATTTTTTTCTTCTACTTTTCTTTTGGATTTTTAGAATCCTTTATATTCCAATTAATATATAACTCCTTTACGTCACCTAAATAATACGGACCAACGACACATACAAATTACATTTTAGAAATTCATTGGAATTTGACAATTTTAGAATTTTACAATTACATGGACAACGACTTTACTGGCTGAGTTGGTTGCAATTATTTTTTTCCCTAGTAAATACACTGTATGTTGTTTTGCTCTACTGAATTTGGTGACACTTTTTGGTTGGGCAGAACTTCAAAATATGCATATATATTATAGTAATTAAATTAAAAAAGAAAAATATTCTTATCAGAATCTTGCATGTGCTTCAATGACCGGATAATATTTTTGTTAATCTAATGTTTGGGATGGGGAGGAGGACACCTATAAAAATATTTTGACGCTCAAATTAGAAGGGAGTTAAGGTTAAGAATTATATTAGAATGATGGAGTTTAGGTTAAGAATTATATTAGAATGATGTCTAGTATCCCGTATATGTAATTGATGTTGTCTATAGGTTTAGAGATAATATTGTATGATATCTTGAAGATATCTCCTTGTGATTGTGTAGGAATATTGTTATTAATAGTAAAGATATTGTTCCAGATAAATGAAGATATTCTGTTAGGTGATCATAACGGGTCATAATATGATATTTATGAAAGATATTCATGTTAAGGTATCTTGCTAGTCATTAGAGATTAATTAACTGCTTAAGATTTTATTACATGACGATTGGGTGAGAGGCCCAACGCGGATGAGTTGGAGGGAGTTAGCTCAGCTTGACCGTGGTGGGTAGCACATAAGCCCCCTAAGCTCCAAGTCCATTAGGGTGAAGGAGTTAGAAGGGAGGTTGCCTTTGGATCTTCCTTTACTGGTGGTGAGAAGATGAAGTGGAAGTCGTTGTATGTTGTTCAAGTTGATTGTTATAGGCGGTATAAGGGCCTTTCGAGCTCCAAGCTTGCATTGGGCAAGAGACCTTTGTGTAGTTTTGGTTGTTTGCATTGTAATTAATCCATGATTGTTGATTTTTTTGTGTGCATTTATGGGCAATAAATGCGATGCGTCAAAATTTATACTTGTTGATTGTATGTTAAATAGGACCACATTTCCATTTCTTTTCATAGTTTGGTGGCATTCTTGGATTAGTGGATTGTTTCTTGCAATTTGTGATCATGGGGTATGTTTTCGTGTGGCGACGCTCTTGTTGGTGGTCACCACTTTTGACAACTTCTTGAGTTGTTGTTTGGTGCATGTATTGATGCTCAATGGTTTATTTTGGGATTAGTGCGAATGATGTTAACATGAGAGATGGTTTGGTTTGTTGGGAGGGGGGTTGATGCCTTGAAAGTGGAGGTTAGTAGTCTTCAGGTGGAACTGGAAAACAATAATTCGGGGTAGGAGGCATTGGTGGTAGCTTGTGCACGCTTGGAGGTCGAGATGGGGCGTTTGACCTATATGAAGGACACTTTCTGGAGAAGAGGTGATTTGTCGCTCGCTTAGAAATGTAAAACATTAGAAGACACGAGAGCTCGTTCGCTTAGAAATTGCATATGAAAATGTGTAAGACATGAGAACTTGTTCATTCAGAAATTGCATATGAAAATGTGTAAGACATGAGAGCTTGTTCACTTAGACATCACATGTAAAAAGGAATTTTGAAGACGCGAATGCTCATTCACTCAAAAATCACATGTAAAAATTTGAAGGTGCAAAAGCTTCTTCACTCACAAATTGTGTGTGAGAAATATGTAAAATGCAAGAGCTTATTCACTCAGATATCGCATTTAAAAAATTTAAAGATGTAAGAGCTCGTCCACTTAGAAATCATGTGTAAAAATTTGAAGATGCAAGAACTCGTTTGTTCAGAACTTGCATATGAGAAATGTTTAAGATGCGAGAGCTTGTTCGCTCAAACATCATGTGTAAATAATTTAAAGGCATGATAACTCATTTGGTCAAAAATCGCGTACAAAAATTTGAAGATGTGAGAGCTCGTTTACTTAGAAATTGTGTATAAGAAATGCATAAGCTGTGAGAGCTCATTCACTTGGACATTATGTATAAATAAATTAAATACATGGATACTCGTCCACTCAGAAATCGTGTGTAAGAATTTGAAGATGCGATAGCTTGTTCGCATAAAAATTGCGTATGAGAAATTTGTAAGACACAAGAGTTCGTTTGCTTAAACATCATGTGTAAAAAATTAAGAGATGCGAGAACTTGTCTGCTCAGAAATCATGTGTAAAAATTTGAAGATGCAAGAGTTTATCTGCTTAAAAATCGCATGTAAAAATTTGAGGAATGTTGTGCTAGGAACGCTTATATATTCTTTGAAAATATGTTTATATGATTGTATTGATGAGTCATTTGAATGTCTTACACGGTCTCAAGATGCCTTGTTATAACCTCGTTAATCAAAAACCCTTTTGATGGAAAGAAAGGCTACCGTAAGAAAATGAGTACATATCCTGATTATAATAGCTTTAGTTGAAGTAGTGTTTCAGGTGAGTGATGTTCCATGTTTTTTTGGAGTGGTTTGCCTTCTAGTTCTTTAAGCCGATATGTTTTGTTTTGCATGTTTTCAATGATATGGAAAGGGCCCTCCCAGGTAGGAGCAAGTTTTCCTGCTAGTTTGATCGAGGTGGGTTGCAGAACAAGTAAATGTGTTAGAAAGAAATAATATGGATCTGAAAAAGGTTGGCAATTTATATTTGAATATGATGCTTGTTTTTCATTAAGTTAATCAAATCCAACAACACTGAGTAGTTGCATTCACTAAGTAGCCTTCGATTGATATGGTTTTGGTATTTAAAGAATGTTTTGTGCTAACTTGGACATTTGTCTAACATATATAATATTGGTAGCTGTAGAAATGGCTTT